ATGGATGGATGAATGGATGGATAGTTAAATGGATGGATGGATGGATGCATGGTTAGATGGATAGTAAAATGGATGGTTGGATGGATGGATGGTTAAATGGATGGATGGTTAAATGGTTGGATGGTTGAATGGATGAATGGATGGATAGTTAAATGGATGGTTGGTTGGATGGATGCATGGTTGGATGGTTGAATAGATGGATGGATGGTTAAATGGATGGATGGGTGATAGATGAATGGATGGGTAGTTAAATGGATGGTTGGATGGATGGACAGATGAATGCATGGTTGGATGATAGTTAAATGGTTATGGTTGGACAGTTGAATGGATGGATGGATGGATGGATGGATGGATGAATGGATGGTTAAATGTATGGATGGATGGATGTTGTAAACAAAGTTAATTTATTATTGGTTTTATTTTGTAGTCTGGCTGTAGTTAAAAAAGTATTTGACTTCTGTAAATATGGGGTGGGGTGTGTGTTTTGTTGTGGTCTTGGATCTTAGATTGGACCATCCAATATACAGTAATGATGATACAGGAATTAAATTCATCCAATAAAGAGAACCAGAGACACAGTTTGACCCAATCAGAGCAGAGCAGGGCGGGGCCTGCTGTCTAGTTCGCAGTGAGCCCGGGTGTGAACAGCAGAGAGAAACTACCTAAATGAAAGTAGCTGAACTTTATATTTAGAAACATGCCGAGAGGTAATTGTACATTAAATGACTACATGAGCTGAAATCCTGTAAATATAATCCTATTGAATGAAATAGTCATTTCAAGGGATAAATCTGTCAATCTGGCCAATTAAAAAAATAATTTATACTCTGCAAAGGACTTCCTGTGCTATATATTTTTTTAACTACATATCTGACGACCCCTCAATTGAAAACATGGAAATGACATAAAAGTAAACTAAAGAAAAGTTGTTAAAAACTCCTTTCTTCCTTCAGAATGCCGTCGGTCTTGATGGTGTAGGTTAGGGTTAGGGTTACCTTTAATAAGGTCAAGTACACACTGTACTGTGTACCTTTACTAAGGTCACATACTCCAATCTACTCCTCTTTATGTGAAAACATTGGAGAAGTGACCTGTATATAGGAAAAAGCTCTCGAATGCAACCATTGGTTTGACTCCAAAATGCATTCAGTTGTAAATGCACTATAAATGCAGGGGTGTCCAATACTAGTCCCTGCGGGCCGCTATTTTCCATATTTTAATTCTTTGCCTGGTCCATCACACTTGATTCAATGGTTGAATTACTTCATGTCCTCCAGAAGTCCGTTAACCACCCATTGATTCAAATCAAACCAGGTGTGTTGGAACAGGGAAACCATTCAGTGCTTCATATTTTGCTAACAGACACAGTTGACTTCAATGATTTCCAACACTACTACCACAACAAATCATTGCTCTGTATCTGTTAAATGACCTGAATTAGAGCCATTTTCGTTGCTAAGGTTGCTTAGCTGTAATAGCCATTTTGAATAGGGTTGACTCCAAAAAACAATAATTTGTCAAAGAATATGGAAGGATACTTTTTTGAGTGTGTCATTATAATCTGCCTAGTGGTTCATGAGATATTTTGCTAACACAGCAGACAATAAAAAGTCTTGATTCTACAAATGGGATTCAAACTCGCCAATGTTTGGCAGGTGTGGGTGTTTCACCTTTTCCACCCCTTGTTTTATTATTATGTGAAGATTGTTAACACGATCTTTCTCCTGTTCTTTTCTTCTTTCAGCAAGGTGTTGAGGCCTGAGAAACTGGCTGCTCACGTGTTCGAGGTTGACGAAGACGTGGAAAAAGACGAGGTAAACGTTTTTGCTTCCATAAATCTCTCCTGAATCTGAGGAGACTGACACTCAGATTCATCAACCACTCCATGTTGGCGTTCATCGTTCATGTTCATAAAGCGTTCCATGGTTTGTTTCACACAAGGAAAAGGATATTCAGCCTCATGCACCACCCACACATGTACAAATAACACATGTCTCTAGTCTTGACTCCTAATTACTTGTTTAGATTGTAATATTTAGTATAGGTTATTATAAGTCTGTTCGTATTGTACTGTTGCGTATCGGCACTGTGGTGTGTTGTTTTGCACTTTATGTTCTGTGTTGCACCGTGATCCTGAAGGAACACCGTTTTGTTTCAATATGTACTTGTACATAGCTGAAATGACAATAAAACTTCTCTGACTCTGACTCATTAGCCTACCCTGTACAAAGACTTCTGCCTTTCTCCATACTCTGTTCTCTATGACTTATGTCACGGCTGATAAGGTACTAACTACTGATAACTTTTAGGCAGAACATCACTTCACAGTAGAAGGGACTATCTAATCCTCCTGTTGTCTTTAGGTCAAAATGACCAAAGGACAGCAGGAGGGTTAAATTGTAAATGGACTGTATTTATATTCATTCAGCCTTTATTTAGACATCCAACAATTTTCAGTCAGGTCATCTGGACAGTTTCTTTTTTTGCTGAAATGTTTCACCTTCCATCCAGAAGTCTTCATCAGTCAAGGGAACACACAAAACAAAACTGATTCTTCTCCCAAACAGCTTACTCCAAAGTGGAACAAACCAGTTATGTTGGTGCTAAGATGGTGTCTTTGGCACGCCCCCTCCTCTTGTGCCGGCACTCTTCCTCGTCGACAGTCATGTCAAACTGGTTCAAAACCAAAAAAGGTCCATGCTCAATAATCCAGGTATACAATCCAACACTTTTCAGTCATGTCATCTGGACAGTTTCTTTTTTTGCTGACACGTTTCACCCTCGATCCGGAAAGCTGGAATCAGTTTTGTTTTGTGTGTTTCTTTGACTGATGAAGCCTTTCGGATGGAAGGTGAAACGTTGCAGCAAAAAAAGAAACTGTCCAGATGACCTGACTGAAAATTGTTGGATTGTATACCTGGATTGTTGAGCATGGACCTTTTTTGGCTTCATTTAGACAGTTTAATCCCAATATAGTGCCTTTGTAGCCAACCAGGTTACTCATAACAGTTTACAATACAATCTCTGCTCTCATTTAGGGTGCATTCACACCAGTCCTGTTTAGTCCACTTAAATCGAACTATAATCCGTTTGCCTAGAAAGTCCAGTTTGTTTAGGGAGGTGCGAATGCGCAATCGAACTCTGATGCGGACCAGAAAAGCGAACTCTGGTTCGCCTAAAAACCTAGGTCTTGGTTCAGTTGAAGTGAACTCTAGCGCGGTTTGAATGCATTATGAATGCAAGCAGACCGGAGACCGCTCCAAAAGCAAGAGGACTACAGCGCAGGGCTTTCAAAACACACTTGCATTTCTCATACCTCATACAGAGCCGTCTGAGCCGCCTTGTGTGAAAAACAACATTCTCCACGGTCTTCTGCCTCATCTTCCGCTCATTCTGAGTCCATTGTTGAAAAATGTTTGTTTGGCACATGTGCCACAGACAAAACAGAAATCCTAAAATGGCTAAAATTTGACGCCACTCCATTTTAGTTTTTATTTCCAGAAATAAGTTGCGCTCTGTGTCTTCTTCATAGGTTTTAATGTTGTTTCCTTCAGTAGTTCTTGGTGCAGCGCCACAACAGGCGAGGGGGGGGACAGGTTAGCTCGATTGACTCAGTACAGTGTGAATGTGAATCAGCTGAAAATGTAAACAAATGTTCCGAATTTTGGTCCCCAATCAAACCGAGTTTACCGAACTATCAGGTGTGAAAACGACCTACCTTGTCCACACACATTCACACAGCGCTCTGCTACATCTCCACAAAGCTAATCTGAATAAATCATTGTATAGAGGGTAAGCAGTGCTTTAGATCAAATTTTTTGCCTATAGTGCACAAATCTGAGGCCATGAGGGGTTCAGTGTGTTGCCCAGCAACACTTTGACATGTGACTACATACTGGTGGAATCAAACCTTCGGCTTGCACTGAAGGATGACTGCTGTACCCACTAAGCCACAGCTGCTCTCAAAGTTTAAGACAAGACATTGAATTCCTTTGGTCAAAGCAAAATGTGCATATACTGTATCTAAACCTGGCTCAGAAAAAAGAAAAACACTGAACATAAATAAAGGCATGCAAAACTCACTTTTGTATTTCATTTTTATATTTATTGAAGTGACACTGTGTTTCCTTCACCGCCTCCAGGATGCGGCCTCTCTTGGATCCCAGAAAGGAGGAGTGTCTAAACACGGCTGGCTATACAAAGGCAACATGAATAGTGCGATTAGTGTCACTATGAGGGTGAGTGTTATAGCGGGAATAATTCATCCATCCATTATCTTTTACCCCCTTCTTCCTTTTTGGTTTGTGGGGGTCACAGGTGCTTATGTCCAGCTATCACTGTGCGAGAGGCTGGGTACACCCTGGACAGGTCTTCAGTCCATCACAGAGACGCATAGAAACAAATGAGACAAACAACCATTCACTCTCTCACTCACACCTAGAGACAATTTAGAGTTACCAATCACCCTAACATACATGTTTTTGGTCTGTGGGAGGAAACCGGAGTTTCTGGAGAGATCCCACGCATGCACTAAGAGATCATGCAATCTCCACACAGAAAGGCCCCGGGCCGGGATTTGATCCAGCAACCTTCTTGCTGAGAGGCAACAGCTCTACCAACTGAATGATTTTTTTGTTTTTTTTTTTTTGTTTTTTGTTACTGAAAATACCTTTTCCCGGTGGCCAACAGTAGCAAACGCGTAGCAAAAGGGTAAAAGCGCTGCAAACACATGAATTGTACAAACTCCAAAACGCGCAAAACAAAAAACAGAAAAACGCTGAAAAAGAAAAATTCCACAGTGACTGAAAATAGATGGAAGAAGAAGAATAAAACTACCTAAAAGCAAGCCGAAAATGTTTGTTTTTGCCTCTAAATGTGTGAAAATTAAGCTAAGTCATCGCCTTTAATGTTGTATTTTACCTTCAGCTTGCTCTTGCCTTGTTTCCATTTTATTTTTAGAATAGAATGGATGGAAACATTAATGTTGTTAATGTTCTCTATTTTCATGTCTTAGTCCTTCAAAAGGAGGTACTTCCATCTTGCTCAACTGGGCGATGGATCGTACAACCTCAACTTCTACAAAGACGAAAACACCTCCAAGGAGCCCAAAGGAACCATTTTTCTTGACTCATGCATGGGGGTTATTCAGGTATGGTTCCTTGTGCACAGTGGTGATGGCAAAATTCAGGTTAAAGCTACAGTATATGTTTTTTTGTAAAGGCATTTGTGTTATTCCAGAATAGCAAAGTGCGTCGATTCGCCTTTGAGCTGAAGATGCAGGATAAGAGCACATTCCTGCTGGCTGCAGACAGCGAAGCAGAAATGGAGGAGTGGATCAGCACCCTCAACAAGATTCTCCACAGCAGCTTTGAACAGGCCATGCAGGAGAAGAGGAATGGAGACCTGATTGATGGTGAGCGTTTCTTTGCTGATACTTCTTTAAGGACATGTGAGCCTATATTTCTCTAAGACAGGGACATTCAATCCTGGACCTCGAGGTCCAGTATCCTTCATGTTTTAGATGTTTCTCTGCTCCAACACACCTGATTTGAATCAATGGGTGATTAACAGGCTTCTGCAGAACATGAAGAGGTCATTCGACCATTGAATCAGGTGTTTTGAGGCAGGGAAACAAGTACCAGGACCAGGATTGGACACCCCTGCTCAAAGGCATATTAAGAACATCCATTCATCCATTAGCTTCTGCTTGTTCCAAAGTCGGATCATGGGGGTAGCAGCTTGAGCAGGGAGACCCAGACATCTCTTTCCACAGCCACCTCATCCAGCTCTTCTGAGAGGACCCCAAGGCATTCTCAGGCCAACCGAAAGACATAGTCCACCCAGCATGCCTTGGGTCTTCCCTGGGGTCTCCTCCCAGTTGGGCATGCCTGAATCACCTCCCGAGGGCGGCGCCCAGGAAGCATCCTTACCAAATGCTTCCTGGGCCACCTCAACTGGCTCCTCTCAATGTTAAGACCATTGTCTCAAAGTATTCTTGAGAGTTTGATAAGAGTTTTGAACATGTGCAAAAAGTTTGGTAAACAAATTCTCTCTCAAAACCATCAAAGTCATCTTCTCAATTTAGTTTCTGTAAGTCAGAAATGTAACAACTTTGGAAGGGCTGATCTTTGAAATCAAATTGTGACTAACTGGAGACAAAAAAGAAATAATTGCGATCAAATCGAGACATCATTGAGACACTGTTAATAATTTGTGACAAATACATTTTAAAATGCTCAATGTTTTGTGTTTTTCCTCAAACTTTTTCCGCTATATTGTCTTCAGCTAAGGGTAGTATCTCACTTTGCTGTGACTTTTGAAGACTAGCTAGTGAACAACATGAGTTTCCCAAATGTCTCGAAATGTTTGCAGAGGGTTCTCAATTTCCTCTCGAGTCGGTTAGGCCTGCAGTTTTGTAGCTTGAATCTTGAACAAAAACAAACTGGATTTTATGTTCTCTCTAACAGATGAGGAGCAGGGAAAAACAGACCTTTCTTCTGGAAGTTTTCAAGACACCTTCCAGGTAGCCTGTTTATCCTTCTTCTTCTTTCGGCTTTTCCCTCTTCAGGGGTACCACAGTGAGTCATCTGTCTCTGTCCTCTGCATCCTCTGTCCTCACTCCAACTACCTCCATGTCCTTTCTAACTGCATCCATACACCTACCAATATACCCACTGTCTCTCCTCTGGACATGTCCAAACCATCTCAATCTGTCCTCTAACTTTTTTCTCCCAGTTCAACCTGTTCTGTACCTCTGATGATCTCATTACTAATCTATCCATATAAAATTCATCATTATTTTAGCCTCTAAACACAACAAAACTACAGTATTAGTCCTTATAGTGGAGCTTTGAGCCAAAAATCTAAACATCTGGATTTCCTGCAGCCACATTTTAAGCAGCGTTTCACATCTGGTTTAGTGTGTTCATTTTCCAAATGCAACACTTGTGTTGAATTAAAATGCATCAGTGTACCATGGCAATCTAAAAACAAACGGTAAAAGCTCATTCTATTGTAATCTGGGATTTGCTCAACAGTAAAACAAAGTTGTAATATACCATTAAAAATTGCAATTTGCTCCCTGTTGTGCAAGTAATTTTCAATCCATTTCAGAACCTTATTTTTAAAACCACAAAACGTTTTTGATAAGATTCCGTAAATCACAGTATCAAAAGTTTTTGATACGCAAGTCTAAGAAAATTCCTAGAGCACATTCATTTTTCTCAAAAGCAGTTGAAATCTTTTCTCCAAGATGCAAGAGACATATAGATAGATTTTTTTTTCTAAAGCCATACAAAATACATACAAAATATTGTTGGCATCAAGATGCTTCAAAATTTTAGCGTATGCCAACCTCTCAAGTACCTTCTCAAAAGCAACTCAACAATTAGTTGTTATTGTGTTTTCAGAATAAAACAAATATAAAACTGAAGACATAACAGATAAAAACTTCCTCACAAAATGCCAATAAATGACATGTTTGCACTTTAGAAGGCTTTACATACATTCTCCTTTTGTTACGATTTACCTTCCTCCTGCACAAGTACCTGGTTTTGACTGCACAGTTCTCTTCAGTTTGTAACTTTGCTGTTTTTCTTGGTTTCTAACAGACAGCCAGAGACATTGAATCTAAAATGAGGAGCGAAGCTCGGCTCAAGCTGTTCACTCTGGATCCTGACACACAGGTGAAGAGAAGAGTTGTTAACAAAACAATTGAAGTACTCTGTGCATTATGGTTTCAGTTTTTGTCTTTTGCTGAGGTGATGGTCTATCTCAGCCTTTTGACAGGAACTCCTGTTTTCACAGAAACTGGACTTTTCTGGCATCGAACCAGACGTGCGTCCGTTTGAGGAGAAGTTCGGAAAGAGAGTCCTTGTCAGCTGCCACAACCTATCGTTCAACCTTCAGGGTTGCATCTCAGAAAATGAAGAGGGACCAACAACGAATGTATGTTTCAGTGGAAAAAAACAGATTATGGAACAGTGATGAGAGTTTAGGACCGTCCCCCTGACATAATCATAGGAAACGTCATTTCGCAAATGAGCATGAGGTTTAAATCACTTAAGAGGATCACAGATGGTTTGGATGACCCACTTGGCTTGCAAAAAATGGTCATTAACAAGACTCCTAGCCAAGGCTTCACACCAGGCCTGAAGCTGGTTTCCTGTTGTTATTTTTAAAGAAAACTCCTTTGACACCTGATACTCAGCTGGGAAGCCCCAGCTATCAGCTCTCAAGCTGTTCAGACTGTGCACACATTCATGCACGCCCTCACACAAATCAATGGTTTTGCCTAATGCATAGTGGAAGGGATAAATGGGAAAATGCAGCATTGGTGGTGCATTTGGTCCTGATAGTGAGGAGTGCATTAGGGAGAATGTATATTGGGTATGTATATCGTATGTACACTGCCTGGCCCCTAAAAAAGTTGCCACCTGGATTTAACAAAGCAAATAGGTACGAGCCTCCTATTAGATAATTACTGCATGGGTGATTATATTTCAGCTGGCAACAAGTTATTTAACCCCAACTGGTGCAATGAGTTTCTTCTCATTTCTTAAACAACCATGTCAAAGACCCATCACATGGTCGTGGAAAAGATGTCAGTCTGTTGGAGAAGGGTCAAATCATTGGTATCAAGCAGAGAAAACATCTAAGGAGATTGCAGAAACAACTAAAATTGGGTTAAGAACTGTCCAACGCATTATTAAAAACTGGAAGGATAGTGGGGACCCATCGCCTTTGAGGAAGAAATGTGGCCGGAAAAAAAATCCTGAATGATCGTGATCGGCGATCACTTAAACGTTTGGTGAAATCAAATCGAAGAAAAAACAGTAGCACTCAGGGCTGTGTTTAATAGTGAAAGTAAGAGCATTTCCACACGCACAATGTGAAGGGAACTCAAGGAATTGGGACTGAACAGCTGTGTAGCCTTAAGAAAACCACTAATCAATAAGGCTAACTGGAAAAAAAGGCTTCAATTTGCTAGGGAGCATAAAGATTGGACTCTGGAGCAATGGAAGAAGGTCATGTGGTCTGATGAGTCCAGATTTACCCTGTTCCAGAGTGATGGGTTCATCAGGGTAAGAAGAGAGGCAGGTGAAGTGATGCACCCATCATGCCTAGTGCCTACTGTACAAGCCTGTGGATGCAGTGCTACGATCTGGGTTGCTGCAGTTGGTCAGGTCTAGGTTTTTTTCTTCCCTGATGGCACAGGCATATTCCAAGATGACAATGCCCGGATTCGTCGGGCTTGAATTGTGAAAGAGTGGTTCTGGGAGCATGAGACATTATTTTCACAAATGGATTGGCCACCACAGAGTCCAGACCTTTTAACCCCATTGAGAATCTTTGGGATGTGTTGGAGAAGGCTTTTCGCAGTGGTCAGAATCTGCCATCATCAAGATCTTGGTGAAAAATGAATGCAACACTGGATGGAAATAGATCTTGTGACATTGCAGAAGCTTATTGAAACAATGACACAACAAATGCATGCTATAATCAAAGTGTGTGCCCTTCTTTTTTGGTGGTGACTTTTTTTTTGGCCAGGCAGTGTATGTATGTATGTATGTACATACATGTATTTCTGATGTTTTATATTTGCTTTGCTCTTGTACTTTAATGTTGTCCGCCTACCTTTTGTAACAGACAAATGTTTCCTCCTTTTCTTTCTTTATCAAAGGTCGAGCCTTTTTATGTGGTCCTGTCCCTGTTTGATGTCCAGAACAGTAGAAAGATCTCAGCTGACTTTCATGTGGATCTCAACCATCCTTTAGTCCGACAAATGATCTGTGGTCTTGATGACACATCGGATTCCCAAATCATCAGTGAAGGTCTATTCGAAGGCCAGAAGCGGACACTTCACTATCCCAAACATGGGGTGTTCTCAGTAACCTGCCCACATCCGGAGATCTTCCTGGTGGCAAGGATCGAGAAGGTCTTACAAGGAGGGATCACCCACTGCACTGAACCCTATATGAAGAGCTCCGACTCTACCAAAGTACGCATGTAAACAGCAATGTGGATGTAATTAAAACTGTGCTTTTCATCTGGCATTATTAGATCGTAAATAGAATCAAACATTTTTTTCTTTAGATTGTTCAGAAAGTGTTGAAGAATGCCAAGACAGCATGTGGCAGACTGGGACAGTACAGGATGCCGTTTGCCTGGGCTGCGAGGTATGAAGCCTGTTTTTGTTCAATTCAACTGTTTTTTTGTATTTTTTTTCAATTTTCTGTGGAGATAGTGTCTCTCTGCTTTGTCATCATCTGCAAAATTCAAAATGCAATAAAGGGAAGCTCAGTCCTTTACTGGAATAGACGTTTAATGTGATGTCATGACAAGGTTCTTGGGTGGCTCTCTGGCTGTGGAAAACCAAACTGGTTTCTAACTTTATTTTTTAAAGAACCAGCTCAAGAACTTGAACCTCTTCAATGGAAAAACCTAAAAATGGACAAGGACAAGAAGTATCCTTCTATTTTGACATTATTTTCTTTGAGAGTCTTGTCAAAACTAGAGTTCTGATTTTTGTTGAGATGTTGGTGGGATGATTGAGTGTTGGGGCTAAATTGAGATTTCAGCCCTACTAAAAATGGTTGAGTCAAATTTTTTCGCCCAGATTTAATCAACAAAATAGTGTTTGTAAATTCAATGTTTCAAAAAACAAGATTGAATTTGTTTAGTTTAGACTTAAATTAAACTGTAATGGTAAATGAAAGCCATCATGTTTGCAGATGACATTGTGATCTGTAATGACAACAGGGAACAGGTGGAAGAGAACTTGAAGAGGTGGAGGCATGCGCTTGAAAGAAGAGGAATGAAAGTCAGCCATAGTATGACAGAGTACATGAGTGTGAATGAGAGGGAGGCCGGTGGAACAGTGAGGCTACAAGGAGCAGAGGTCACAAAGGTGCAGGACTTCAAGTACTTGGGGTCCACTGTCTAGAAAAATATGGAGTGTAATAAAGAGGAGAAAAAGAGAGTCCATGCAGGATGGAATGATGAAGAAAAGTTTCAGAAGTGATTTGTGACAAAAAGGTATCAGCAAAGGTCATAGATTTACAAGACAGTACTGAGACCAGCTATGCTATATGGTCTGGAGACAGAGTCATGGCCAAAAAGACAGGAGAAAGAACTGGAAGTGGCAGAAATGACGATGTTGAGGTTCTCTTTAGGAGTGATAAGGATGGATAGGATTAGGAATGAGATCATCAGAGGTACAGCACAGGTTGAACAACTGGGAGATAAAGTTAGAGAGGCCAGACTGAGATGGTTTGGACATGTCCAGAGGAGGGACAGTGGGTATATTGGTAGAAGGATGTTAGAAATGCAGCTGCCAGGAAAAAGACAAAGAGGAGATATATGGATGCAGTTAGAGAGGACATGGAGGTAGTTGGAGTGAGGACAAAGGATGCAGAGGACAGAGTGAGATGGAGGAGGATGACTCACTGTGGAGACCCCTGAAGAGGGAACAGCTGAAAGAAGAAGAATAAAAGTGGTCATTGAAGGCAATGAATTAAACCACGTAACAAGATATAATGTTATGTAATGTGTCCTTTGTGACAACACAGAACTTTTCCATTATAAAGAACAGAGTTGAACCTTCATTTGAAGAAAAATGTTCAGTCATTCAGCATAAATTGCCAGGAAAGTCCTAAGGACATCTACCAAACTTTGACTTTCAAACTAAATTTAGCCCAATTTCAGCCTAGATGTTTGTGGAAGTTGAGATATCTGCAACATATCTGAGCTCCAATGAGTTATGCAAAATCTTAAACTTAAGACTGAGGCTGCTAGTTAAACCGCTACATTATAAATAAGACCCAGCACTCACCTGAGCAGAACTTTAGGAAAAATAAATGTATGCTGAGATTGAGGCAGACAATATTCTAAACTTGTGCTAAACTTAAATGCCTTGTGAATTCAGTGTCTTTCTTTTTTTGTGTCTAGGCCTCTGTTTAAAGATGCATCAGGGACTCTTGACAAAAATTCTCGCTTCTCAGCTCTTTACCGACAGGACAGCAGCAAACTGTCAGACGAGGACATGTTCAAACTGCTCACTGACTTCAGAAAGTGAGTTGTGTTTCCACCGTTCTTCTCCCTCTTGTTCCAACATATCGTGACGGGGCTAATAATAGGTTGCTCTTCCTCTGTTTTCCCTACAGACCAGAGAAAATGGCCAAACTCCCTGTGCTCTTAGGGAACTTAGATGTAACTATTGATAACGTGGCACCGGATGTAACCAGTAAATCATCCAAATAGTTACAAGCTCACATCTAACCATCCGTAATTATTAGATTTCGATCTTTGAACCTCAACTTTGTTGTTCGCAGACTGCGTCACTTCCTCTTACATTCCTGTAAGAAACTTTGAAGAGAACGGTTCTGGGAGCGCTCTTCTGGAGGTGGAGGAGTTTGTGCCTTGTATTGCTAAGTGTGCCCAACCCTTCACCATCTATAAGAACCATCTGTATGTTTACCCCAAGCATCTCAAGTATGACGGGCAGAAATCATTTGCAAAGGTTTGTACAGCTAAGGTACATAATGATGTTTGAGCTTATCTACACAATTAGCATTTTACTCTTTATGTGTATCCTCATGAATCTGCAACCTGCGGCGCTGGGGCCACATGTGGCACTTTGGTCTATCTGCAAGGGCTCTTTCAAGCTTTGACGAAAACTGGCGTGACTATTGGGTTGTTATGCAAACAACAAAAAAGGGTCATTTTGCAGTTATCTTGTCATTTCTTTTGTAAACATGACTGGGGGAGAATTCATTCAACCTTTATTTATACAGGTTAGTTAGTCTCATTGCGTCACGAGGACTCATTTACAAGAGAGACCTGTTTTAGACAGACAACATATAAAGTACAGGCAACAATAAACTATAGTAAAATGCTAATTAAAATAAAAGTAGTGTTGCCATGTAAAACAAGGTAAAATACTAAAAACAAGAACATATTTGCTTATTGACCATATCAAATGTTTAAAATCCCCTAAAGAAATTAAGCTGGTCAGCTTCAATTCCTGTTGCAATGTGTTCCAGGTTCAAAGTAGGAAAATGCCTTTTTGCCAAGTTCAGTCTGCACTGAGGGAACGCAGCAGGTAATGATGTCCTGAGAGCGCGTGTTGTAACCGCACTGACGACGTGACATGTTGGAGGAGATATAAGAAGGTAGCAGACCACGGAGTGACATATAGGCAAAAATGAACCAGTGTGAGAGCCTATGTGTAGATAATGATGAGCAACTGACCAATGAGTACAGAGTTCAGGGATGGGTACGGTAGTTACAACCAGTTATGAATCAGTGCGCCATGGTAGACAGCATCCAACATCTGCAAGCAGCTGGCAGGGGCATTCATGTAAATAATATCACCATAATCAATGGCCGGTAGGGAAATGGCAGGTACAAGGTGTTTTCTGGCATTCAGAGTTGAGCAAGATTTATTTCTGAAAAAAGAAATCCAGTTTTAATTTCTTTTTTTTTTTTTTTTAATCACGTTTTTCATATGTTGTTTCAAAGAGAGATGTGGATCGACCAAAATTTCCAAGTATTTGTAAGAAACCACAAACTCAATTGGAACACTAAGATAGGAGGAAGAGTTGCTGGCACCGACTTTCTGTTTGAAAACAACATCCCTTTGGTTTTGTCAGAATTTTGCACCTGATTGAGATGGAATAAGTCTGACTGAATTATGTCAAATGTAGACTGTAGAAGCTGGACAACCTTGGCAACTGTGTTAGCTCGACAATAAACAATTGTATCGACAGCATAGAGATGCAAAGATGTTTTGACCTACATTACTGATATAAATTGTAAAAAGAATGGGTCCTAAAACTGAGCCTTGTGGCACACCATTAGTGATTGTTAGGCAGCTAGACATAACGAAGGGTGAAGAAGTAAAACACGTTGAACGCATCACACTAGTAGTTTGTTAGCCCCTTCTTTAGGCCGACTTCCAGTCTCACAGTGCGCTTTCTCTCAAATCCACCTGGTCAGGGGAATTTTGGTAAAGGTTTCTGGATGTTTCATCACTAACTAATCTTACATTAATGTGTGTGAGTTGGAGAACTGTTTTTCCTCTCAGAGAGGAGCCTGCAGACGCACCTGATAACTCCAAGGACGCCTCAGAGTCTGTAAGCTGGGAAGCTGAGGTCGTCTTGACCTGCCTCTGTCTGATAAGCGTGCATTATAAAACCGTTGCTCTCACATTGTCCGGTGCAGATTCTCATGACAGGGTGCAACTTTGAAGCATCTGCGTAAACCTTTTCGTGACCATCTACCCTTGCTAGTAAAGACCAGTTAAAAAATTTCTCATGTCCTCAGAGCGGCTTATTTGAGTAAGTAGATAATAATAGGATATTTATGTATCCAACACACTTTTATACCTTTAAGACAAGTTGCTAAGAAGAAATGTGGTGAAGTCAAAATAAATGCAAATATTTTAATTTTAAAATTCAATTACATATTCAACGCACTGGCCTACTTTTTATACTCGCTTCAGTTTTATGCTTTATTACTTCAAAGTAGGATATTTTATTAATTTCCCCATAATTATAAAGAAAACTCACACAGACCTGCGTAGTACAGTGTTTTAATTTTTATCCAGTTGATAAAATTATGTATTTTTTTTACATTAATTAATTTTTTCATTTGTCTTAAAATGTAAAAGTATTAATAAAGGTTAACAGTCATTAGATTTTAGTTTAGTTTAGTTTTATAAAGTCACCTGTACTGGCCAAAAAAGCCCCCTTCAACAAACTTGAAATGGTCCACGGGCCACCAGTTGATCACAGTTGCAGCAGGTTTTCCGGCTCCGGAAACATTTTATTTAGTGAGCAAAGGGTCATAAATGGCTCCTTTGATCGTAAAGGTTGCAAAAATAATTGCTTTTTGGAAAGCAGAGCCTCAGTTTGGCAGCCATTCCCATCTCGTCATTGTTTTGTGTTTCTGTTCAGCCTCTTAAACTATCAGCAGCAGCTGAGCTGGAGAGATTTATCATCATGCCAAGCAGCAGCTTTTGATTAATAAAATAATACAGATACTTAAATACGTCAGCTCCACATGTTAGCAAAATATATCATGAACCACTTGACAAAACTCTCAGAAAGTAATCATTAGAGTTACATCTACAATTAATATAAGCAGCTTGATTCAAGATGGCTGCCACAGCTAATTGGCCTTAGCAAACATAAAAGAGGCTATGATTTAGTCAGTTTTACAAATATTGAGCTGAAATTTGATGTGGTAGCTGAGAGTCATCTTTATCACACACCCTGAGCACAAACAGATGCCACATTGTTGGCATGCAAGGGGATATGCATAACTTCAAGGAATTCCTGTTAAATTTATATTTTATTCACATTTTCAGGCGAGGAACATTGCTGTTTGTATCGAATTTAAGGATTCTGATGAGGATGAAGCCCAGCCATTGAAGGTACACTGAATGTTGTTTTCATTACTTATGTTGGTGTTCTTTAAAAACTTGAAATTGAAAAACTAGAAAAATGAGTGTAGATTATAATTACAGGACATATGAACAAAATAAGCACAGGTTTTCTGACTTTTTATCAAAAGAAGACCAAAAACCTTGACTTAGGCACAAGGTTGAGTTTTTGTGTTTGCTAAACCAAGAATAGAATTTGCAGAAATGTGTTGGCTTAAAATAGATGCCCAAACCAGAGGAAACGATCCATCTGGCTCTCCGAACCATTATGTTCTTAAAAGAACATGAAGTGAGCAGACCTAATTATTATCAGTAATAACAGCGGCAGATAAAGTTTGACATTGAAAATGTTTTTATTATCAGTGTGCTTTCTGTAAAGCAAGACACATTTGAAAATATCACTACAGGTTTACTTTTATAGTTTTAAAAACAAAACATGTTTGCACAGAAATTAGCCACTGGTTAAAAAAATGTATGTATTTATATAACATATATATATATATGTATATATGTTTTATATATATATATATATATGTATATATGTTTTATATATATATATATA